CCCATGATCCCTCTCCACCATCAGAGACCAGGCTGCCAGCGCTGGCAGGTCATCGCTGGCACAGCCGTCTGCAAGAGTTTCCCAGCCTTTCTCTCAGCGGCTACGCATTCCAGAGATGACCAGACACAAACACATCTCCTGTGCTTGCATACTGGAGCACTTTCTGCAGCTGGGTAATGAGTCGAAGAGCACATTAGAAGCATATATATACTGTCTCTCCCAGCTGAAAAAAAAAAAAAAAAGCTGATCTTTTTTTTCTTTTTTTTTTCTCTCTCAGAACAAAAATGTAGTGGAAGAGCAAAGGGTGAATTTTATGGCTTCAGCTTTCTTAGAGATAATGTATTGTGGGGAAAAATTAGTCATGGTGGGACACTGTTCAGTCAACCTTTAGAGAAGCCCACAAACACAACAGGATCACAATTAGTGATCGTATCTAACTATTGCTTCCTTTTTTCAGAACTGCAAAGGTTTCAGGTTCATAATCACTAATAAGAGGCATCCATACTCAGGAGTGTAAGGCAGAGAAGTAGGGAAGCAGAAACAATCAATTGTTTATCACTTTGGTCAAAAAGGCTGATTTCTTTGTCAGTGACAGATGCTCCAGCTTTGCATAAAGCTGAAGCCAAGAGAAATCCTTAAACCAGGATCCTTCAAAACACTCACAGCTCTCCCTTTTCAATTCAAAGTGTTCAACTCTTTTATGAACCTGTCCTTTGGGAGCTGCTGCAACCTTCAGTCTTTGTACCAGGCTGCAGGTGAAGTCCACAGCATACTGTTCTGGACTTATTCCTCAACATTGTGCCACACGTCTCACATGAAGACAGCAATATTGTGAGATATGCTGCTATTCAGCTAGCAGTGAGAATGTCAACATATAATTTAGAGGGCTTGAAATGGAAAAGAAAATATAAAGCTGAAGGTAGTTTTTACTGCTGTTACAGCCAAGATAGTCTACGACTGTAAGTGTGGTGAGGTTTGGAAAGAGTCCATATCTTTACCAAGACCAACAGACATATTTGAGGGAAAAAACAAGATAACCTTCCTCTAGCTCAAAACTGTCACTTCTGGGCTTTAAAGTTCTGCATATTTCACTGCAAAATCCTGGAAACTCTTTTCCCAAGCACAACTGTCTTGCTGCTGTGCTCATGATAGGCTCACAACAGAAAAAGGAGAGTGTGCTCAGCTGCTGAGCACTGCATGGAGTTGTGCTGTCACTTCATTATCAGAGGGAGCCCTGGGCATGTCAAACACCCACAATCCAGAGTGGCAGTGGGGAGAGAAAAGATGTCTCCAGCCCATTGCCAAATGGTATCATGTTTTGGCAGTGCTTTATTTAAAAGGCTCAGGACAATGAGGGGTTTTTTAAGAGTGGAAGCACTGGAGAGTATACAGCAAAACTCAGAACCTGTGAGGCGCACCAGGAAAATTTATCACAGAAGGTTTGTGTACAATGACATCAGGACAATGTTTTAATACACCTGTTACAAGATGCATTGAGCCATTTGCAATCTCCCTTATTCTCTTTATCTCAGATAATGAGAATGGTAGCACATTCCAGGCCTTTTTCAAACGTCTTTCAGTGAAAGTCAGAAAGCAAAACATCTAGAGACACGACACATAGATCAGATTTCCCAGTGAAAATCCTAACCAAGAGCTAATGAAAGTGCGAGAATGCCAAGAAGATTTCTCTGCTCTCTATAACTTAGGCCTGTTTTGAAGGCAGTGTCAGTGTCTGCATGTGCACATTTGTGTCTTTTCTCTTTGAAAAGCTGCTGAACTCCTTGGCCAGAGAAGCCATATGAATTAAAAATCTCAGAGTTACCAGCTTTTCTAAAAGCCACAGGAAAATAATTGGCCAAATAGAAAAGAGGAGACCCATACACAACCTCTACAAGAACTCAGGCTTAAAGTGGGGCTGTGGTATGAACCTCCATGTTATTGTGTTGCCTGACACACTCTTCCCCGTAGGGGGAAGAAGCTGCAACACTTCAGTAGGGGGAATGGCTTCAACACCTCACTGTGCTCACCTATTACACAAATCCACCTGCTCTCAGCAGCCCTGATGTTCGAGTGATTCCTTATGGGCATTAGGAGCATGCTCATTTTCAGGGCATGGATCTACAGATGTGGTTTAGCTGGGGACCTCAGAGCTTCAACCCTTTGAGTCAGCAGCCAGCTAACCACGCTCTACTCCCTGACCTCAGATGCTCACTGGGCAATCCCACTTGGCATCTGCAGGGAGAAGGCATATGTGGAGTGCTGAGCTGGTAAGAGGGGCTGGAAAATGAGAAAGGTGCCAGAAAAATAAAGGAAAGCAACAAAAGCAGGGCAGAAAAGAAGAAGGTCAAAACTTCGGTCTCACTCTGCAAAACTTGTAAGAACTTTCTGGTATCGAGTCATATGAAGGGAAAGTGGGTGGCTCTTGAGACACAGTAAAAATGAGATTAACTCACCTACTAAATTCTCAGTCATCCTCCTCTTATAACCACTGCCAGGAAGTATGAATAACCAATCTAAATTTAAATAGAACAAAAAAAAAAATACTATACAGTATGACTAGTCCACAAAGAAACCATGAATTTGCTCTTTTAATAATTAAAAGCAATCCAACAAGTTTTCCGAAGCACTCATCTCTTGTTCATGAAATAAAAGACTATCTTCACTGCCCATGTATGCCAAGTGTGCTGCATTATCTGCCCAGATAATTGCATTATTTTTCCCATTTGGATGAAACTGCATTTTGTGAGAGTGACAAAGTAATTCCCCAAGTGCCAATTATTTCTCTGCTTAGAAAATACCATGTACAATTATTCCATTCATGGAAGAATTGAAATGCTTTAACTACCTACTTACTCATATTTTGTAAATTATGGAAGAAAAAAAATGTTCATTGCCACTACCAGCATGAGACAAATGTTTTACTGCATATGACCAGAGCTGACAAAATTTCCACCCCAAGCCCATTTGAGTTCAACTTGGGACAAGCTTTACAGACGTTTTTTGTTTTATTTTTTTTTTTACTTCTTGCTGTGCAGAACCAGTATACTCCTACAGCTCAGCTAACAGTCTATGTGCTTTGACCTTCAAAACTTTCAGATTTCTAGATATCTTCACTCTTGGATATTTTTAATGTATTCCCTTCACTGAACATTAGGAATATTATTAATATTTGTGTCTCAAGAGCTCTCCTCCAGATATTGCCTGCAATGTAGCTCTCTGGGAGCAATTTGGAGGGAGACCATTTTTAATCCCTTTCAGCAGAACTTTTACACTCAAGTCAGTGAGTGTCGATACTATGCAAAATAAGTAAATGTGGTAGGAATGAGTTCACAGGCAAAACTCTCCGTGAGTCAAATTGTCCCCCAGCTGCCACATTAAATTGTGCTGATAAGAGGTGAGATTGCCAAATGCCATGAAGAGGGCTTTGGCACATTAGCATCTGAGAGCTAACCTGAGTGTGGTCCCAGATCTGAAGTCCATTAAAGCCTTTTAATCACTCTGGATTTGGCTTTAGGAAAGGAGGGCAGTTTCTGGCATTGTTGAGTTAGAGTGAGTGTATTGAAACAACCCAAGTCACTGAACTGTTGGTGTGGCTGCGATGGAAACAAAGGAGGAAGCGGAGCTGAAGGGATTTCTGAGAAACGTCACAAGCCAGTTAAGCAGGCAGGAATTGAACAACCTATCAAGCCATATGGAAAGAGGCTGCTTTCTAGAGATATGCCACCTACAGCCATTTTGTCTTTCAGTGCTCCGGTAATCAGATCCATACATATGGATTATGCTACTGGGCAAGAAAATATATATCATTCAACAATGTCCATAAATTACAGACATAATCAAAGTTTTAAAAATGCATCTGTCTCTGTATGCACAGCAGCTCCTGAATTAACAGTGTACTGTTTACTGTGCCTACATAGTGAACTTCAACAAGTCTAATTTCATGTTAAAATGACAAAACTTTGCCTTTTATCAGAGAGAGAAAAGAGACATTTGCATTCTTTCTTTCGTGTTTAAGAAGAGAAGTATGAGCTTTGAAGTCCTGTATTTGTGAAAGAAACCATGGTAGCCTGTTAAAATAAGCTTTTGGTAGTGAAAAGGTTAACTAATTTGGTTTCCCTGATAAGTTTATCTATGATCAGAACTGAGTCATACAGAAAATACTCCTACAAGATTTGACCTTTTACTTGTATCCCACACTGAGATAATATACTTAAAATGGATATCAATAAGAACTTTGTTTTAAAAAGCATATTTAAAATAAATTACTTTTAAATAACAGAAACTGTTTTCAATTAGCCCTGTTAAAGGAAATCAACTAGAAAGTTATGTATGCTTTTTTATTTTCTTTATATAAATTATACCCAGGAGTCCTATGATAGCAGCACTGTACAAACTATGCACTACCTTTATATTTATTTCTTATCAAAATAAACTTAACAAATTAGATTTGTTTTTACAGCACTTTATATCCAATAATGACAATGTTGTATTGGTCCCAGGATAAAAACAATGAAAGTAGCAGCTGAATGGTATTTTTATTAAGAGTTAACAAAAATGTCTTGTGCAAACAGAGTATATAAAGAAAATTAATTCCATAATTCCTCATGATGAAGGCATTCTTCTCTTTTTTCTTTTTTTCTCACAATATCAATCTCATTTGGAAAGACCATTTTGAGGGGAAAACTTTAAGTTTTAACATGACTTACTCAGCAAAATTATATGGCTGAACTTAAACATTGCTGACTGCTAGGATTTAATATTAGGACCTGGCAAATGTTTTGATAACTTAATACTTTTTAAAAGAAAACTTGTTTGTTACTGAAGATTTTGGGAGCCCAGAAGAAATATAATCTAAAAAAATAACAGAACTAAAATCCAAAGAGATGTTTCCTCTTTTTCCCATCTTTTTCCATTTCCTGTACCTTAAACTGGTTCCTCCATGCTAGCATTTTAGAAGCCTTTTTACTGGTGGTAGATTCAGATATATTCAAGTTATTTACCATACAGCTCAGCAAGAGTCCACGTTTTCCTCCAGCAGTGGAAAAATGGCAGGGCTAATAGTCTGGAGTTTGTTACTAAAAATGAGTCCTTATACAAAAAAAAAAAAAAAATCAGAACATTGTTTAGAACATGTGGTTTTCTGCTATTAAGTTAAGAGTGGAAAATCTCATTACTTTTAAAGTTAATTTTATTTTGTGGTGGGATTGCTCTCTAGACTGAAGCAGATTTTCTCTTAAACAGAGCCTCTAATCCTACCTTACAGTCTTCTGTTCAGCAAATCACTCTTTGCATAGCCTGGCTAGCTGCATGTTTAAAGTCAAATGATGAATTAAAAGGTAAAAAGGAAGAAAAATAACTTTTCCCCACATGTGCCCCTGGGGCTGCTAGCAGGCACTCACGTGCCATCTTCTCCAGCTGTTGCTCTAACTACAGGAGTTGTCCAATAAAGATCTTGGGTTAAAGATGCTCTTTTAGCACTGCTAACAATGTTTCTGCTTCTAATGCAAGATTAGAGTGCTCTGCCAGGACAAATTAGAGGTTGGGCAAATTCTAACACCAGCTCCATGCAGGAAGCACCGTGGAGAAGCAGACGTGTAAGAAAAGTGTAAAGTGGTCTGATGGCCTGCCCAAGGGCTCTGAAAATCAAAAGGGTGACACAGAGAAGAAACTTCTGACTTTTGATTGAGGCTAAAATGATTTACAGTAACAGAGAATGAAATCTGAAATTTGCAGGGAAAATGACCCTAAGACAGAAGCCTTGTTTGTAGCCTGCATGCTATACATGCATATGTACATATATATATATATATACACATATCCTACTTGCAAGTTATGATGACTCAGATCTAAACTCTCATGGTTTTAAGTACCAAGTGAGATTCAGAGTCACATAATATTTGTGTTCCACCAACAGTCCAAGGTTTTGGGGCTTTTTTTGGTAACATATGATCCTACTATATAAAATTCACTCTCGTGCAAAGATGAGCCATTATATTGTAAATTCCACTCACAATAACTCTTGTGTAGCTCAAGTCTCAAGTGAGCTATATTTCAAGACACCCTTAAAACTTTGTATTCAGCCATTCCCCTTGCACTTTTCTATATCAGTTCACCAGGAAAATTTGACACATGAATAACCAAAATACATGCACACATGATCACTGATAATTTGATATTAATTTTTTTTTGAGCATCACCCTAGCTCTTCTGCCAAAGTGTGAGAACTACATCTAGAAGCTAAGTACCTTAGCCCCACTGCTGCAGAGGTCTTGCTTCTCCACCAGTGAAAATTTAGAAAACGCAGGAGTTCAGTCTGTCAGTATTTTTGGGGAAAGAAAAATTTGCAGCTGCCCAGCAAACAAAGGAGTTCTGACCTTTCTGAGCTCATAAGTAGTCAGCAATGCTGTGTTGAAACTGTCTCTATCTTTCACAGTTTAACCCCAGATGGCAATCAAGTACCACACAGCCACTTGCTCACTTCCCCACCTGCACCGATGGGGAGGTAAATTTGAAGAAAAAGTAAACCTTTTGTGTTGAGATGAGCAACAATTGAAACAAAAGAAAATATTAAGACAATTGCAATGAAAATACATTGGGGAGCTAGGGGATGTGTAAATAAAACCCAGAAGAAACAAGTGATGCTCAATACATTTGGTCACCACACACTGCTCAGCCCACCCCCCAAGCACTGATAGCAGCTCCCGGCCAAACTCCAGCAGTTTATATACTGGGCATGATGTTCTGTGGTATGGAATATCCCTTTGGCTACCTCAGGTCACCTGTCCTGGCCATGCTCCCTTCAGATTCTTCTGCATTTGCACACCGGCAGAGCATGAGGCAGTGAAAAGCCCTTGATTCAGAGTAAGCACTACTTAGCAACAACTAAAACATCAGTGTGTTATCAACATAATTCTCATACTAAATCCAAAACACAGCACCACCCCAGCCACATGAAAACATTTCAATATCAGTGCAGCATCAGTTTGTTGAGTTACACTAAAATTCTACAGAAACTGAAAACAGAGCAGAGGACTGCTCACTGCCCCACTGTGAATAAGAGCACCTCGAGATGAGGGGTCTGATGTTCACAAGAGCATGAGTTCCTGCAGCTCCCACACCAGCTAGGAAGAGCAGCAGGTGTTCAGCACCCCTGAAATACCAGGTTTTGAACTTACAGCACATGAATGCTTGCATGACCTCCAAGCAGTGAAGTGTCCACTCTCATTTCGGGACTAGGAGCCATTTAGAGCATTGATAAAGATTAAGATTTGGGAAATAAGTTCTCAGTGCTGGATACAACTATCAAAAACATACAGAATGAATTTGGGTCTTACCACAAATTTCTTGTTTTACAGATAAACACAAGCTCAATGTAACTAACCTAGAATTGAGAGAATTTCATCTCCTGGCAGATGTCAAAAGTATAAGCCAAGACAGAGAATGAGAGTGAGACCTTGCTCGAACAGAAGGTGAAGCTTTAGAGTTGTGGCGTTTATCTCTGCCATGGGGTTGTGAAACCAACTCAGTTTTGACATCTCACACATGTGCAATTGAAAAGTGAACTTGCAGAAAAGGGTTATTTCAAGAGATGAGTGAAACTAGCTTGCTCAGTTTGCAGAGTTTTTGTGTTAACTTTCTTATGTTCTGCTTCATACATTTCTATACTCCAGGAGTTTTGTTTTGAGTTTTAGCTTCAAAGCAAAACTGATTGCAAACCGCTGTATTTTGACTTTTCATGTTGAAACTATATCTCACACGGAAAGTTTCAAAAGCCAAAGTGCACAGGACTGGTAGCCTGGGGTAGTTCAGCCTGTGTTCAAGCTGACTGACTGAGGGTCAGAGACAAAATCTCCCTACATGCAGTGATGCTGATACCTGGCTTTTCTGTGCAGTCCCGTGTCTGTACAAAAACTACCCAAATACACCCAATTTTATGTCGTTTTCTTCCAGGAATAATAGAGGAAGCTTATAGACAGAGTTGTCAGATTAAACTAACATTAAGTAGTAGCCAATTAGTAATTTTTTTATTATTACATTTGTTTCTAGCTAGGTCAAATAGAATTATTATAAAGGCTTTTTCAAACAGAAATCCAGACAAACAGACAGCACTGTTTTCTGCTAAATGAATGCTGGTTTTCTACCTGTATCTTATCAGATATGATTTGCCAGAAACAGCATGGCAGTGTCCAGAAACACCTTCTTGACAGAAGCTTTCCTATATTTTCCACATTCTTGTTCTTAACACCCCTTCAACCCAACTGTTAACACACTGGAATATTTAAAATGGACACAGAAAATAATTTCTCTCTGATTTCCAACAGCACTTATTACCATATTTCCATGATCATCACTTAACTTTCCACTATATTAATAACTAAGACAAATTTTACCTAGCAAGCAGCAATCTAAACCCTCTAACTTGACAAAAATATCCCGTGCTTATTTCTCTTTCTAACCATCAAAGAAAGTCACTACAGCAATCCTGGGTATCAGCATTTTTCCTGTGTGATTCACAGGCAAAGCCTCTAGACCTACAGTTTTCCTTTTTTGAATTTCTGCTTAACCAATATGATCAACAGGTACCCTTCTCTGTGGGTGGTGATAATGTCAGTATACCACTGCCCAAATAACCTTTCTCTATAGGGAAATGCTCACATTTAACTCTAAATTTCAAGCACATGTATTTTGGTCTCATAACTGCACTCTGTATTAACTGACTTTTGTTATTAATTTGTATCACTAAAAATCTTAATGAAACCAGTTATTGCAAATGCTAAGTGCAGTAGACATCTAAAATGTGTGCATGAGCTAACATATTTAAATGGTGACTAAGTATTTTCCCCAACTATTGTGAATACATTTTCAGAATTGCAGATGACACTGCTCTGCATATGTTCAGTGTAGAGCTGTGTCTCAGAAGAGTTTTTCCTTCCAGCCCATTCCAGGGAACATAAGCAATGGCTTGCAAATGGTCTCTATTGCTTACCTTCACCTTATTCAGAAACATAAAGTGTCATTCAAGTGCTGCCTACATGAGACCTTCACCAACAAGAGCAAATTCTGTGTGCATTGATCACTTCTGGTCTCCCTCCTGGTATTCCCTGTGAGAGGCACTGCTGCTGCACAGGGTCTTTGCATGCATTCCCATCAGGTGACCACAAATTTATAGCTGCCAGTGTAGGAAAAATATTGGTATTTGGGATAAATATTCAGGGACTTCTTGTTCAAACAACACAAACCACAGATTCAACGGTTTCCCCAAACTAAATTGTTCCTCAGTAAAATTTAACACAACTGCAAATGTTAAAAAGCTAATGCATGGATTAGCTCTAAAACTGCAATTATATTAAAAATTAGTGGGAGGAGAGGTGGAAAGACTGTATAAAATCTTAAAGTGTTTTCTGTAACCTCTATTAAATTAAACCGTTTATTTAATTTTTACACACATTATTTAAGTAGTATTTACACAGTTCTATACTTATAGCCATTGTTTTAATGATACATTTCATGTTTCATCATATAAATGTGTTATTTAATACATATAAATATGTAAAAATATATATATTTAGAACAGCATGTTTTAAAACAGATACCAACTCCCAGGTACAAATTAGCACTGCCTTTTTTTTTTTTCTTTCTTTTCTTAATCTGAATTCTGTAGCAAATCCCATAAACTGTATGTTTCACTGCCTAGGATACCCTCCAGTTCCCTGGAGTAATATTAATAAAAGGAATGCATTTTCCTGGTCTGTCTGGGGAAGGGTACAGGGGCTTGCAAATTATATTTTAAAACAACAGTCATCTGAGATAGTTCCATCACCTCGAGATATTCTGTGGACTTGGTCACAAATTTCAGAGTGCTTAGGTTGTAGCTCTCCAACGTTTCCCATAATGTGAATTCTTTCCCATTTCAGAATCTTTCAATTAATTCCCGATCCTTAAACTCTTATGACATGTCCTGATATTTGGTAAAAGCTTTAAAAATGTCATTATACCCCTCTTAAGAGACAAACCATTCCCAGTTCTCTGTAGGAGTTTTCTTTCACCTTCATTCAAGCTCCCATTCCCAGTGATCAGAGATGAATGACACCAACAGGGTATCTGTTTCTTGTTTCAAACAACGATTGCAGCCATGCCTTGGGAATCCATCCTGAAAAAGATTGATAAATACTTTAAAAAAAACCACAACAGAGTACATGGAAACAGTTCTCTCTTTCACTCCCAAACTATAAAATTAATATTGTACATCACTAAATCAGATGTTATGATTGCTTTGTAAGTCACCATCCATCATGACTTTTTCTGTAACAATTTCATTTCTTTAACTCCTACAAAAGTAGTCCAAACTCATATCAATCATAATGCTAGTGAGTGATTTTTAAAAGTTCCCAGGAAAGTGCTCTCTGTCTACATAATCCTAATTAATGCCTGTGGTGGATTTTATCCAGAACTCACTACTTTCCATTAGCTTTAATTTTATTTTAGGATGACTTATGTATTTTATACATGTACAATATATAATTTTCATGCATTATATACAACAAATTGCTGTTGTTATAAAATAATTCAGAAATGCTCAACCCCACATTGTGCAATTTATATATAACTATACTGACTAGTATAGTCAAGATCTTTAATTTCCCTCTTATTCAACAGACCATCAAAATTGACCTGATTAACATGTTTCTAATTGTGTCTGTAATTAATGCATTCTTTAATTTAATTTCTTTAATTTAAAAAGTTTTTTTTTTAAGTAAATAAATATTTCATGTGTCTATCCGAGTTTGCTACCTGAAATTACCAATTTTTGCAGGAAAATTAGTTTGCTGCATCATGCTCCAAACTGGGAATTAAGCTTCCTTTAGCCAGACTCCCAAGAGTTTTGAACCTCAAACCACTGCAGTCCTGACGAGAAGCCCCAGGCTCCTGGACTGGGGCATTTGCTCAACAAGAGCCACTCCCAACTCACACACACAGGTTCAGTTCAGCCACTGGAATTCAAAACACACCCTTGACAGCATCCCATTGAATACAGCAACTCTGTCCTTGTTAGATATGAAAGTACTCTCCTGCCTCTATGCCTTGTGAACCTGAAATAAAACACCTTAGAGGGAATTACCTTCCCAAATGTGATACCTTTAATTTTCTTAAGCATTTGCAGAGGCATATTACCTTTTAAAGCAGTTTTCTAAAGGGGAAATTCAGGTTCCTGAAAGAAGGTACCTAATGCCTACTAGGATACCCTGGAGTACCCAGGATATTTGTGCAGGCCTGGCTTGTTGTGGGACCTACAGGAGACTTTTGACCTTTGACAAAATCCCACACCTTTAAACTGGCAGTGACAGTCCAGATGGGATTCCTACAGGCTCTCAAATGCACAGGCCTATGTTTAGGCACATGAGTTTTTTCTAAAACTAGTAAAATAAACCACTAAAATTAAAAACCAAAAGAGATTAAACATAATTTTATACGATTTCACTTAATAAAAAAACTGGGGAAAGTAGCAAAAACTTTAAAGAAATAACTTTATCTAAATCTCATCCTTTACTGTACAAAAACTGGAGATAATCATCACTTGTTATCTTGATCCTATAAAGGTCATGATGAACTAGTCATATTATAATACTTTTATACTTTCCAACTTCAAATTTTAGAATATCACACATTTTCAAAGTTAAATACTTTAAAAGTCAGAAAACATTAATACAGGCTTCATGCAAACCCAAGAATACAGCTTTTAGCTATTTTGGAGTGAAGCTTTTAATTCTATGTTTATATACTATTTTTTCTCACTCAGCAACTGAGTGCTTAATACTGTTCTTAAGAAAAGTGTTGTTACATTTGTAATTAAATAACATGTTGGAAAAGGACATTTTACATCTCTTCATTGCAAATAAAAATTCTAAAAATGTAAAATCAATTCCCACTTTAATGTGCTCCTTGCAGCCAAGCCTTGGAACTTCTTTTCATGTTTTCCCTCAAGCAAATTTCCCTTTGATTCCAGAAGAGTTGTGGTGGGCCATCATATCACAGTAGCACACAGTCCTTTGTAGTCCTTCTAGAAATGGCTGACAAGGTAAAGCTGGCTGGACTAGTCAAAGGGAAGATGATTGTGATGAACTAACAAGAAACAAATTAGATACAGGGCTAACATGCAGCAGGTGAAGTATTTCTAGAGGGGCATGGAAGCTGTTGCATTAATGTTGCATGCAAGGCAGCAAGAACGGGTGCACACTTCTGTATGCTTTTGTTTAAAGTAGATCAATTTAACTTAAAGTAATGCCAGGGGGTTGGAAACCTAAGCTTCTGGAAGAAAACAATGCAAATTGTGTTTGTTCAGGCTAGGTTGCTCAGGCCCAAATCTCTCAGCTCCATGCCACTGTAAATGGTAGGGAAAAACTATTCAATGTAAAAGGACAATAGAGACACAAGGGATGTGGATAAATGCAAAAGACAGAGAGAGAGAAAAAAATATTTACGGTCATCAGAGCTGTGATGGATTGGATCAAACTTCCAATACCATATAGGGTGGTGAAGGCAGCTCCTGCATGGATTTCACAGTAAGTTTGGTTTTAGCAGCCAAAGACTAGACTTGATAGACCAGGAGCTCTCAGCAATGAACCAGCAAAGTCTTGGTTCTTTACAACTCTGTCACAACTTTCCCACTGTGATCATGAGACATCAAAACCAGTCTCTGCATATTAAAGGAGGTTGCAGCTAATACCCAGATGAACACTTAAAGGAAAACATAAACATTATAAGAGACATTAAAATTATTATGAGATTATTTTCTGCTTGAGGCTTATTTATGGAATGGAAAGTTAAATACTACTTTGGTTATTTCAGACTAAATTCCAAACATTTCTGCTTTCAGTTGCTTCAATGAGATTACTTCAAATTTACCTTGAAGTAAATGAGATCTGGATTCAACACCTTAATTCTTTGTTTCTTGTGGGAAGATTGATTAATATTGTTGATTTCATAGTCATGGAGGGGAGCAGTGAGTAAGCAATGGTAAACACGTCACAGAAAACAGTAAAAAGCAGAAGACAGATTTAAGTAGACATTGGTTTGCCTTACCAACTGTCTGCCCTTTGCTATTTGTAGATCAAGATTACATACTGCACAAAGATTGTTAAAAAATGCAGACCAACTAGCTTGCTCTTGGTTTTAGTTTGGAGTAAAGTATCCTTCAAAAGCTATATTTTAAGCAACGATTTTTTTCTTCTTCTTCTTCTTTGTCACAGCCAAATTCTCCAGTTCAGGAATTTACAATATTTTCCTTTTTCCAGAATGACACCTGCTGGTGGGAGAAGCATGGATGAATTGCAGATATTTTAGAGGTTTGATTGTTGCTAACCAGACATACTATCTGAGCATGCTCATCACCTGTATGTAGGCCAACTGTGGAAAATAAAGATTTCGAAACTGTAAAGGTGCTATAAGGAGAATATTATTTTCCAATATGATTTAATATTTGCTCTCAATAAACCACAAGTCTACCTTCTACTAAGACAGTGCTTCCATGGTGTTTCAGTGCTGGACACTACCCCTATTTTGGGAAGCCCAAAGCATCATTCTGTCAGACCACGGTAACAGCCAGAAGGAAACCCTCCCTACCCAATGCAAAAAGCTGCTGGGCTGCTTCAAACTCTCAGCTGCAAGTAAAACCAGCTGCTAGTGCAACAATTTGTGCTTATCATCCCAAAAGATTAGATCTCAAAGTCAAGTATTGTGCATATGTTCCTGACTCAGTATGGGAGGACACAGCTCAGAGAGGCAGAAATCAATATGTGCTTTTGCCAAAACTGTGACAGATACTGCTCAATGCACCAGGCAGCGTTAGGCTCTGGATTGGGCTTCCACACTCACAGATCCTCTGCTGCTGGGTCTGTTGCCACAGCCTCCTCTACAGCTAAACCAGAGTCAGACCTCAGCTTTTGAGACTTTCAACACATTTACAGCAATATTTCTAAAAGCGATTTCCAATGCTAAGAACCATATATAACTATTTCCTTTTTCTGAGCTGCAAACCATCTACTGTCTTCTGCAAAGGCAAGCTGAAGTGAAAGGTCCTCGGGACCCTGAAGAAGACTCTGAATTTGGACTCTAAACTGTATGTTTTAAAAACAACTTATGATGAAATTGTTGTGGGGGGGAAAATACAGTTATAAAGAAAACTACTATATAGTAAATTCAGTACTAGAATTCAAATAAATCTTTTAAAGTATTTACAAGACCATAGGCAAATATACACATTCAGATGTTCAATATACACATTCAAGTGTTCCCCTTGGATAAATACCTAGGTGTTGTTATTGCATAGCTCATTGTAATATCAGAAAGCAAACTTTCTTTAGATTACATTTGCTTGTTAGTGGCATTAGATGGCAATTTAGGAGACTTGGCTTCTACGCCTGGATTTATCATTGGCCTCCTTTACAGCTTTGAACAGGTAACTTCCTTCAATTCTCCCATCTGTGAAAATGCATGAAATGCATGCACAGGATACAAATAGCCTGGGATTCAAATAAGCCTCTGCACAAGGATAAGCTCTGAATTTGGTCACATTTTTCTCCTCTCTACTCTCTACCTATCGAACTCACATGGAATAAACTTCGAGTTGGGAATACTTTCATGCCTCGTTCTCTTTATTTCACCTGGGACACTCTTAACTTCAATCCTTTAACTCTTGCTCTCTGAGATGATGCATTAAATGTTCGTGACTGCTATAGATCCCTCCAACTTCTTATTCAGCAGCTATTGGGAAACTGGTTTGGACCAGAGCACTGCAGCTGCAATGTTTTTAAGCACTGTCATCACTTCTGGTAATGTGTTTCCAGCATTATTTCCCATAGAAGTCCTTCCATCCCTTCCCCCACTAAGCAGCATATGCCCCTTGATGAGTCACAGCTCATCCAAACTCCCTTAGCTGCTAAACCACACTATGACCAAGAAGCTCTTCCTCAAAGGCATCCTGGCTCCAGCTGACCTCCTCAGGGACAGCCACAGGCTCTGCAGAAGTGACCTCTAACATCAAAGTTAAACATTACTTCAAACTGATACACACTGAACAAGACAAAACTGCATATAATACCATGGCTTCATTTTCTCACTGATTTTGCATGTCTAGCTTTTCTTCTGCCCAATGTACACACTTTTCTTCCCCCTGTAACCAACTTCCTCCAACTTTAGTTGGTTCTACTTCTAAGAGTACTTTGTTCCCCTCAAAAAATGTCCTTACCTTCCTCTATTTTGTCTCAAGCTTTCTTTACTTGTCTTACCCACATAACTTATTTATTTTTATAGATCTTTATCAGCATGCACTTTTGAATTTGCCTCAGAGAAATTTGTTTCCTTGCAACCATAGTCCTTTGCAGTCAAGTCAGAGGGAACTGTTTATCTGTAGGGTGCAGTAACTTCTTGGGCTGCACAGACACTGTGCAGACACTTCTCAGTGATCAGGTATTTGTTCCACAAGGATGAATACCAGGTAACATCTAAGTTTTGGGAATGTCACTCTATATTGACCTGAAGAGGTCTGGAAGACCCAGTTTTACAGCTGGAGAAGTGAGTCCATTTCTTCAGAGTTCTAAAGGCTGGTGAGCACTGGGAGTCTCCAGCGTGCAAGGGGATGCAGGGGCAGCACTGGGAAGTGAAATACTGTGTAAAGAACCAGAGCTCCAGGAAACCTGAACCAACCCGTCCGTCTGCACGTCTGTTTGTGGGTCAGGTCTGACTGCAGACACAAGTATGTGCTACCCTCACCACTCCTGAGGAAAGCCCACTGTGCTTTTTGCTGGGCAAAGTCTCCCTGTCCAGACCATAGGGCAGCAGAGGAGGTGTACACCACTGTTTCCTTCGGGAATTGTTAGTGCTATATGGGAGTTTGACTGCCGAAAGTGATACAGATCCAGAATCTCAACAGTTCCCTGCAAAGTGGAAGTTGAAACGTTCCTGAGTGTTGCATATTTTTGTATTTCTGCTTTTTGTATTGTTTTTTTTCCTTTCCACACTATTTCCCTTTCACAGAGTTGTTTGTCATTTTACAATCCTACCCTGAACACCAGAATGACACTTACAGTTCTCCATCTAAAGACAAATACTTTCAGCCAAAATGTCATATATTTTAAACTCTGGTAAGAGCAAAGCAAGAGAGAATCCACACTGTAAGTACCTTCTGCATCTGCACAAGACTGATAAACACTGCAGACTACACAGGATATAATGTCAGTCCTGACAACCAGCAGATAAACTGAATCAGAGAATTGATATTTCCTACTTTTCTCCACCTTACACTTCCCCTACATCCATATTTGTCTCCTTCTTCTCAGAGATCTATTTTATGGGGATATATCAAATATGTTCCTGTTCCACAGAAACTCTTCACTGAGATCCAGAAAGGTTAGCTTTTACAAGATGTCACTTTTCCAGTAAATCAAAGCACCAGATTTGCATACCGTGTACAAGGTGGGGGCTTTTTTAAAATTAATTTTCTCCCTCAAACCCTGTATTTACTATAGAGAAATTTTTTTCCTCTAATATCTCTTTTAAAGCTTTGCACCCCTAAGGTCAGAATAATAGGCCAATCTTCACACCAATCTTTCCTCCCTTCATACACAGAGGAATTGTCTTGTCACATGGTCCCTTTCTTCTTCATGAGATATTCACACATATGGTTTCATAAATCTCTTCTGTCTAAGGTTTGAGCAACAATTATTCTACTACCCTAACTGGTTGTCTTAAGTTTCGTTCCTTCTTTAGCTGGTTATTTGCCATTTCCATACCCTCAGTAAGCCTCCAGACTTTGCCTTGTTGCTAGATCATCATTCCTTTATCCCACACAGATTATAGTTCCTCTTCACAGCACAAGAGTTTTTCTCTTTCCCTTTCGCACATTTTTTCTAGATAATAGCATTTTTTTTTCAAATGCTGCCTGAATATTTTTCTCCTCTCACTTGTTTTTACTTTATTCCCGCATATCCTTCCTCTGAGATACAACTTTATATTCTGAACCCTCTTTTCCCTCTGTCCTTGCACTACCTACCAACATCTTTTCTGTGATGATTACACATCAAATTAGACAAGGTGCTTTTCCCAACTGTCTTTTGTTTGAGATTTAAGTTCTAGGTAGCTTTCACATCTGAAACTTTTAAAACTTTACATCTCATCCACATTTCAACCCTGAGGCTCCTCAATCTGAATGAGTTGAGTAATTAAAACATATTGTTTATGAAAATTTTCCTCTTCAAAATCAGGAGCCTTAATTGCAATCCTGTTTCTATTTAGTCTGATATTTAGTGTAAACACAGTAGACCTGTGAACACTTGAAATTTCTTTCATTTTTATTCTTCCATAGAAGCCACATTAGTTCTCACAACTAATGCAAAACAGGATTGGGTGAGAGGTCATTTGGAGAAGTATTTCATCTACCGTGTTCATAGGTTCCTTAAGAAATAGATCCCAACTTCTGCACACCTTTCTCCAACCTCCATCTAGCAAGTCTAAGTTTCACTTAGACACATCATTTCCAGTTGTCATTTATTTCTGTAATTATACTAAAGAGATCTCTGTCCATGTCTAGCCTATAAAGATGAACTAAGGGCTACATCAGCCATCTGGAATGATTTCTACAGATTCTCTTTTACTAACTTATACCAAAGTAGTTTTGACGCATAAAAAATTTGTCTTAGGCCAGCAATAAATACTAATAATATTTTTTTGGGTGGTTTGTTGTTTTCTTTTTTTTTCTTCTGAGGAAGAATTTATGACACACTGGGTTTTTTGAGAAAGACAGTATACAACATTTCCATGTCATTCCCAAAGCAATTGCATCACTGGGCAGCAAAATCTCCAGGGCTGCTGGACTTCTGACTGCTCTCAAACTGGGACACCTCCAGTAAATCAGTCTCCAATGAAGTCCTGTGCAGGATAACCAGAAGGGGCAGCAGCCTGACGACTCAGTAGGCTTGAGGAGCAGACCACAAAGGTCTGATCTGCCACCAGTCTGGCAGGGGGCAAGGGGAGGAAGCCAGAGAGCTGCCAGCCCAATGCACAGACAAGGTGGGAGGGGGCTATGCTAGGGTAGGGGAGACTTGGGGGCTGGAGGGAAGAGGTGACTTTATCCATTTCGTTATTTATTACCATGCCATCAATCTGATCAGCCCAGCAAAGAGCCCAGGGCTGGCTGTGGGGAGCAGTGGGGGCCAGGCAGCAGTTCTGAGTTTTCTCTTCAGTGGAGCTGACGCACCCCATGGACAGCATTTCTACCCTGCACAAGTGGCATTTCTCAACCGTGCATGGCCCCAACCAAATACTTGTGGCAAACTCTTATCTGCAGCTCTACCAACTCCAGTAACCAACAAAATATCTAAATCTTTCACAAGTATCAAAAGTGTGAAGCAAGACCGGTATTTAAGCCACCAAATGAGTAATATCTGAAACAGACTCAGCAAGAAGCTTGTGGGAACTTTTGTCTAGCATTATTAACTACTACAAATCACTTACCATATCTAGCCAGTTCAGACTGCTGTGCTTATTACGCTAACACAAAAAAAGCTGAATTCTGGGAGTCTTTTGTTGTTGTTGTTGTTGTTGTTGTGGTGGTGGTGTACTTTCACTCACTTTCACTAACATAATAAAAAAATGATGCCTGGAATTACAATAGCGTGGTGGAAACTTTCTACTACACTGCAGTGAACCTTAAGGGAAAACATGTACATATGTGCTACAGATATTACGTGCGTTTCCAGGAACCTTGTCAAAATGGATCACATGAAAAAAACAAAACAATTAGGAAGAAAACTGCTTCATCAAGTTCTTCCATTATTCACACCACAGGGCAGATGAAAGATCAAAACCAAAAGTGTAATTTTCAAAAGCCTTTTGAAAATTTGAACATTTGGCTGGATTTCTTACCTTGCCACCTCCATGAACCCTGGAGAAAATGAGCAGTCTGCGATTTTTCGAGAAGGAAAACATAACCTAAAGTATCAACATGGTTCAGGATTAGGTCTAAACACTGAATTGTTTAACTTAAGAACAAACTGCATTGTACTTTGCAAATACATCTGCAAACAGAATTAGGATAGGGTGAAAGAGAAAATTCTCCTTGTGGTTTTGTGTATATCATCCTTGCCACTTTCATAATTAGAGGGCATAGGCTGCCATTAAAGTCAATTGCAAAGTTCCTATTGACTTCAGTAGATGTAAACCAGGCTTTAATATTATGCTTTTCTGTTTTCTTGAGGTTTAAACACCTCATAAAATAAATTTACAGATGAACTAGTAAATGTACACTCACAAAGAAACCTCCTGAGAAGTCCCTGAAGCCATATTTTTAAATGCTGCTATTCATTCAGGTTATATCAGACAGATTAAGGGACTGTCAAACATAGATCAAGAACAGCAATAAGAAATGCTGAAAATACATTCCAGAAATATAATTTTTAAAATATAATTTGATACATTTGACAAAACAGACTTAGAAGAGGGTTTTATATTATGCTACATATTTTACAAGTTCAGAAATGCTTATCTATTTATCTGCATATTCGTTTCAGTGATGTGTAAATGAAAATGTGTATCATATATACAGCAAGTTCTAAGGACCATTAAAAAAAAAACTCACATAAAAATGCAAGAAAAGCTAATTAAGAAAGAGAGAAAAAGTGTGGAAGTAGAGTCTAACCGATGAGAAGTCAGAAATACTACCATCCAGAGCTGACATTTTCTACTACAGAGCTATGTGCCCATTGGGCATAATTTTTGGTGTTGCAGACTTTCCACAAGTAAGATTCCAATTGACTACAGTGCAAATGAAAGAACTGTAGGATCTAATTAACCCTGCTGAGGTTTGAAAAACAATCTCATATGCTGCCTAAATATTTCTCTGAATTTCAGAGATTTTTAATATAGTTTGCCCAATTCATTGATAAATAATTACTTATAAATATTTATAAGTATAAAGTAGAAATATAAATAGAAGGTGAACCTCAGATGATAAACAGATATAAGGTGGTAATAATTGCCTAACCTGACCTGATGAAAGAACATCATAGATGAAACATCATAGATAACATTACCAAAGAAAGAGTCGTGATTGCTGGATGACATTTGCACAATCATCTTGTTCCAGATACTACTGGAACAAGCAGAAAGGCTCTTTTGGCAATTAATAGCCACTGGGGAAATGTCTGCCCACTACCATAAAGGAAGACAGTAGAAGAGACAAGGATACTGTCCAGCTCTCCAGAACAGACTTCAAATACCTAAACTTGTTTCAATCAGAAAACACCTTGCACCTTCTCAAGAAGTGGGCTAGAGTTCTGCATCCATCAATCCTTCTCAGTGCTGCTTCATCTCCAGAGCAGATCCATGCTAGAAACAGAGATGAAGCCATATGAGTGAAAACACAGTGCAATCACAAAACTAGAGTCAATGTTTACACACAAATGCATGTTAGAAGTGTACTGAGGTTGCAGACAACATTTTTTTAATCTTAATTTTAGGATACCTCTCCATGCATCTTGAATATTATCTTAATGAGGTGTTTGTGTTTAAAAATAAAGTAATAAAGTAATAAATACTAAATACTATTTCCACTATGTGCATCATACCTACCAAAACCCACCAACCAGGATGCTGCCTGTAGGCCTACACACACTCATGGAGAAATGGTCAGTAAAGAATCACAAACCACAGACTCACTCAAGCTGGGAAGGACCCTGAGGATGTTGTCCACTCCCACCCCCTGCTCAAAGCAGGACTCATCTCATTATTAGATGTGGTTGCTCAGGGTCTTGTTGAGGTTGTCCAACTCTCTATGTGTGTTCAGGCTAGTGGCAAAAAGCAACTATGCTGGAGGTTTGCCAGCAGCATACAAACTACAATTTGGGAGCCCTAAGATGCATTCCAGCTCAGAAGAGACTGGCTCCCTACTCCTGGTTCCACTGCAAAGCGTGGCTGCGCTTCCAAGTAACGCCCAGGGACAGCAGTGCAGGGGTTGGCTCCGTTTTGGCCTCTAGTGCCCCCAGCTAGTGACTGTTCAGTCATCCTGTATGGAAAGTCTGATCATGGGAAGGAGCTGGGAGAGGTGGAGGAGATGAAATCTCTGGAAATATTTGCTGTTAGGCTTTAGTAAACCTCCATGGGATATTTGGTAACTGTGTTTTTTTCCATGTCTTGAAACAGTCGACCAAACTTGAAAGGCTTTATGAGGATGGCAAAAGGCACATACCCGATTCAAAGGCAGAGAAAGGCCTGTCTTTGCTCAAAAATATAGGGGGCAGATATTATTTTTCTAAAAAAGCAAAAATCTAGCCTTATTCTTATAAATAATTCAACAACTTTTCAATTCAAAAACTTAAAAAACTGGAGACTGGCATTGGATAAAAATAAATTTAGCCTAAATACATTCACATTGGCAGAGCTCTGGAAAAATTAAAAAAAAAAAAAACAACCCACCACAGAATATTGAAACAGGAAGCACTAGAAGACCTTCACAATGGCCACAGCTACCCATTCTGCCTGTAATATTGTTTCTAAAGCACTTAGGAATCCTTGGAAGTGAACAAAATCATATCTCTGAAGTTGCTGGACTGCATTTCTCTGCTCCCCATTTTTCTGCTGCAGTATCTTGCTGTTAATCATTGTCATTATAAACCACAGCTGGCTGGTGGGAGCACCAGTCAAGTATGTTTTCCTCTGGAACTAAACTCCAGGAAAGTAAAAAACTCTGAATATGCATTGCATCAGGATTAAAGACAAATTTTGAAGTTTGCTTCCAGAGAAAACGCTGGTGTATCTAAACTGTATTAAGGGGAGGCAGTGCCAAAGGACAAGAGCACTCCACAAATACAGCTGCACTTCCATGAAGTCAGAGCAAGCAGCTCCTTGCCCACAAGATGAGGTAAGTAAGAGATGCAGTGTAACAGCCTACAGAACACAAACGGAGCTTGCAGTTCTATCTGGCTTGTAAGGCCCCAAAACTAACAATGTTAAATACATCATACATACAGTTTTCGTATTCAGCTTGGCTTTTATTCACAGTCCTAAATTTTGACTTTTTAAAGAGTGTTCTTTCTATCAATATTATTATTAAGGGTTGTTTTTTTCTGAGCTTCCAGTATGCAATGTCACTAGCCGGTAAAGGATCACTGATGGACTCTCCATCCTGTCATACACAGCAGTGTTTGCTACTAGCTTCAGAGGGGCAAGATTTCACCCCACAGGAAATCAAGGTAAGAGAGAAATAATACTCATTTCACTCAATTATATAGTAAAGTTCTCACATTTTCAGGATCTCAGTCCTCAGACATTTCTTATTCCTGTCACAAAAATGCAGTTGGGAGGATATGTAACATAAAGTACGAAAAAGGGTGCTGTAACACAGAGTGAGACAAGGGGGCCAAAGCTGTAAATTCCTTCCATCGACATGGTAATCTGTATTTGTAAAAGGCCAATGTTGAGCAGGCAGTGAAAACAGAAATGCATAACCACATCACATCATTCCACTGCCAGAAACATTCATACTAATTTCCACCATCAAACACACAGTATGATTACTTAAAAGCTTTTTTAACTTATAAAAACAAAATCCTCAAGATGGTATAACTTCTCATTTGCATATTCTGTAAAATGAATATACATCAAATTGGCAACAATCTGTACCTTGTGTACAAGCCTCCTTCAGGGTCATTAACATGGAATCAACTCCTTGCAGTAAGTAACCACTTCTTTTTCTTGGGTTTTATGTTAAAAATTGAAAATTAATCTTGTAAGTCATTTTGAGCCAGCAAAACAGGATTGACAAAGCAAGCACTGTAGTATGATATCTTTTATTAGGCCAGCTTAGAGTTCAAAAGTATGCAAGCCTCCTTGACCACACACAGGTTCCTGTATGCAGAACTCCAGGCTGGAGCCATAAAATGTATTAAACTACTTGCTTTGTCACTACCTATATATATATATATGTATATGTATATATATATATAATGCATACACATTTGAAATGCTTCAGAATAAACTGTTCATTGACACAGGTTTAAAATAACAACTCTGAAGGATTTCTGTGGGTTGGCATGTAATCTTGCAATGTATTACTGCGATTAATAATTTATCAGTACACAGAACAAATCCTGCTTCTGATTTCTAACAAAGTCCAATTCCTATGAAAAAAGTCATAGTAATAATATTAGCAAACATACATTGTTTGCTGCTTGTAATAATAACAATGAGAATACCTGGCGAAGATACAGCACAGTGTTTCCCATCAAGTGTTTTCTAAGGAATAATACAGAGCATCACTAACCTTGTAGTAGCTATGATACTTCAGGGTGCTTTAAGACCCACTCTAAATGGAAATCTCTTCTGCATAAGAATTGAAATGTTTCTAATGTTGTTTTGTGCCCCAGCGAGGTGTCTGCATTACCTGCTCAGCTCTGCTCTCCATCCCACAAGCACATAAACAGATATCACCATGTCAGCTCTCAGTGCACATGACAAGCCGTCCTGCCCTGGAACAGAAGGGCCAGCTGTGGGAGCTATGTACAAAGAATGCATCGAAGAACGGTGACAGAAGCAACCCCTCTTCTTCCTTCAAATTCTGGCACCTGCGAATCTCTTTCTGGGTGTTTCATTGGGAATGCTGTGGCCAGTAAATGAAAGCCAGTCATTGTTACAAAGACTGAAGAACTGGTGTCCCTCAAGCCTTTGGGCTACCAGCACAGGTAACATTTTGTAAATATGAGTATCAGTGACTGCACGATGTCTCTACAGCCCTCAGCTTCTGCAACTCTGCCAGCACAGGCTGTGGCAGTGTCTTGTGCTCTAGTTGTACCTGCCTTGGGATGGGTTGGTGGGTCTGACAGCATCAAATGTGCCTCTGATGAAGTCTGCTAACTCACTGTGAATGAGCCTGAAGTTGATGCTACATTTTCTTAGATTTGATCCTGAACAACAAAGGCTGTTTAAGACCAAAGAACATCACGGGTTTGTAGAAGAGCTTTGTCTGCCTATGGCAGTGTGCTCACAAAGGATCAACATTTTGATCCTTCTGCTGGTGATCTAGGTCATGGGAAAAAATATTGGTAAGTAGATATACCGATTAATAAGAAATTTGAAACCACCTTTAGAATAAATTTAAGATGTGGCCTCAGTGTTACCCTATCCACCTGAAAATAATATGGAGGATTAAACATGAAAGCTAGAACGTCATTTATCCCCGAGCTGAGGTAATGGCTACTAAAAATGTGGATTTCATTGACAGATGATTTAGTGAACATGATGACAGACGCTCAAACATGGCTCCATTAAAGATAAAAGCAACATACTTAAATCTCATGAGGAGGGATTTTTTTCTTATTGGTAGAAAATGTATGTCATGACCTTTAGAAACTTAGGAACCACATAACGAGAAAATAACAAAGAATCAGCACTCATAAGTGTCTGGCTAAAGTTCCCACTAAACAGGCTTTGATAGATCATTTTTTCCTGACAACAAAGGCACCAGAGAGATTGGCTGGATTCTAGTTCTCCACTACAACCTATGATGAAAAATACTTCCTGTGGCCAAATGAAAAGACAAAGAGAACACTTTCTCCTTGAAAATGTGGGTTTGTTTGCACTTCTAGAGTGAATCTAGTCCAGGGATGTCATCCAAGAATATCAATACCATCAGGGCCAAAGAGGAAGATGTAGTTATAAAAGTGTCCCAAATATTGAGTCATTGTGTTCTTTGAAGATGAGAGTTTTATCAATGACTGAGAAGATACTGAAAATCTAGAAACGAAAATTAGTTATTCTTTTGCTTCTGAGATTTCAACTCCACTGCCAGCTGTAATGCACTGCCTCAGTGTTTGGTGTCAGTGAGGGTGATTCAAAGCCTAGCCCAGAGACGACCCCCCCTTTCTCTGTGGGCCTTCTGGAAACATTGGTCTGGAGTGCAGCTGATGGCAGTGAGTGGCCTCAGCCCTCTCATTAACAGGATACAAGAAGACAGAAATAGACACTTTTAACGTGGCTCTTCCCACCAAAAAGGAAATGTCAAAAATAGGTAAGATGAATAATTCCCCAGAAGTACCCACTCCTCTCCTAAGGTGATGTGCTTAGATGCAAACATTCATGCTGGACATCTACAATTAGATTAGAAGAAACACACCTCAGACATCTGCATTTCAGAAGAGGAAAACGTTGGAGCCTTATGGCGCAAATGCACCTAAGAGGCGATTTTATCATTGTAGTCTTACACATCACAAAGACTAAAATTTTGACTCCCAAGTCTTCTTTGAGCATTCATAAAGAATGTCAAACTGCATATTTGAGAGGAATGTGGCCTGTTTCTCAAGAGGGAAACATAGATTATATCCATCATGTCATACATCTTTCACATATGGCTTAAAGCTTTAGAATTTCATAATGTTGACCATTAAAGGAAATTGCACATATATCCACTACTATTTTATTTATTTGCCAAGAAACACAGAAAAACGCCTATGACAAAAACATATAGTAACTACGAATTACAGTAATAAAAAACTATCCCTAATTAATATATCCAAGCAAACACTAGGAGTGATCTACGACTTTGCCAAGGAACAAAGTAGGAAAGATTTGTCAAGTTTGGGGCTGGTTTTCACCTTTGCATAGAGTCTTTGTAGAAAAAGTGTACATTCTGTGATTTAACAGACTCAAAGAAAAAAATCAGCTTTTAATCTTGGTCTATAACAAGATTCCTCTATAATATTTTCATGATTAAAAACTAGGAGTAGGCAGGTGAGAGGCAGAGCTGTTCCATGTGAACAAAGAGAAGAGAAACAAAGGCATAATTGGGGCTCCTACTTCCAGTTCCTACTGCTCAAGCTATAAAATTGCTATAATGTCTTTCTAAGAGAGCTTTATGATGTTTTGTTATAATGTCTTGCAAGCTAGAGTAGACCTAAAGTCTTCCTTTGATGTGTTTACACTGAATTAACATTAGTTAAAGGGTAAAATGAATGATCTGTTCAGCTGACCAAATGTAGATTTCTAAATAAGAGTGAGATAAACTGTCTCTAAGCTCCACTGACTCTATTGACTAGTCTAACTACCTCAGGGGAGGTTAAGGTTAGCTATTAGGAAAGACTTCTTCACTGAAAGACAGGTTAAGCATTGCACCAGGCTGCCCAGAGAAGTAGAGGAGTCACCATCCCTGGAAGTGCTCAAAAAATGACTGCAAGTGGCACTTTATGATATGGTTTAGTGGGCATAGGGATATTAGATCTAATGCTGGACGTGATCTTGCAGGTCTTTCCCAACCTTAATGATTCTGTGATGTATGATTATATGGCTACAAAGGGCACTTAGACACTCAAGTGTGGACATCTAGAGTTACCCAAAAGGTAAACATCTAACATCTCTACCAGGCCTCACAGCTCTCACTGACAGATAGGTGAGATTCCAGACTAGCTTAGTGATTATATTAGGCTAAGGAGCAATTCTGAGAAAAAAAATTAATCAACTGAACAATAATCAACAGTGTCAATTGGCTATAAAAAACGAAACAGTCATAATATGATGGGATGTACATCTGACAGGCCATATGAAGCCATCCTTCATTCTGTTTGTACCAGGTTATACTGCACCTAGGAATGCATGAGGAAAGGTGGAAAATAAAAGTAAATCTACAAGAATGGCTGGAGGTCAAGAAAAATAAGTTATCCTCAATCATTTTCAAATCAAGATCCAGAAAAGGTAGCAATGGGCTTAACGTATAGCAAAAGAGACTCAGGTTGCAGATCAGGTTTGTATGTGTAATTTACACAAGCCTAAAAAGACAGTTTTCTAAAATTATTAAACACTGGATTTAACTACCTTGAGAGGTTCTGGAATCTCTATCCCTGGAGGTCTTATAAAGCAGGTTAGCCAAATATCTGTTCCAGAGAGCATAGGATATTTAATGTGTCTTGATCAGAAGGAAGGAGTAGATGACCTCTAGCACTGCTTTCTGTAATTCTGTGGTAACAAGTCACTTTAGAGACTTGTCTTTGACTGCAGCACTGTGTCAAATCCAGGATTAGAACACTCTATCTTTTCTGCTTCTTTTAAATCACACCAGCCAGTAATATTGACCTATTCTTCAGACAAAAAAAAAAAAAAGCCGCTTTTAAACATCCACATAAAATCATACAATAGTTTGGACTGGAAAGGATCTCCAAAGACCATCTAGTCCAATCTCTCTGTCATGAGCAGGGGCTTCTTTTACTAGATTAAGTTGCTCAAAGGCCCCATGCAACATGACCTTGAACACTTCCAATGATAGTGCATCCACAGCTTCTAAGGGAAACCTGTGCCAATATCTCACCACCTTTTGTAAAAAATTTCTTCTTTATGTCTAATCTCAACCTGTCCTCTGTCAGTTTAAAACCACTGCCCTTTTTCCTTGTCACTATAGTCCCTCTGTTTCTTTGAAGTTCTCTTTCTGTACTGGAAGGCCAAAATAAGGTCTATCCAGAGCCTTCTCTTCTCCAGACTGAGCAACCCCAACTCTCTCACTCCTTCCTCATAGCAGAGGTTTTCCACCCCTCTGATCTTTTTCGTGACCCTCCTCTGGACCCACTCCAGTGGGTCTTGTCCTGTACTGGGGAGTCCAGAACTGGTTGGTAACTGCCAGCATCCTTCTTTTTACCACTTTAAAAATGGGGGTGATGTTTCCTTTTTCCAGTCACTGGTGACCTCACAAGATTGCCGTAACTGTTCAAGAATGATGGAAAGCAGTTTGGCAACTACATCAATCAATTTTCTCAGGACTGTGGGATGCACCTCATCAGGTCCCACAAGCTTGTGT